CAGGAATGCTTCTTAATTGTCCATTGTGATTCCTTGTGCATCATTAAATTACTTTCTCTTGAAGGGAGTGTGTCTCATCAGTGGGCTGCAACACCGACACCATCACATGGGCCCCTGGGCCAAAGGACAGAGGATTAGTTCTCAGGGCTGCTTTGGACTGGATCTGCTTGAAGGGAGTGTGTCTCATCAGTGGGCTGCAACACCGACACCATCACATGGGCCCCTGGGCCAAAGGATTAGTTCTCAGGGCTGCTTTGGGCTGGATCTGAAGCTGGGGTACTGGCTGAGGGAGAACAGATGCTGATCAGGTGGCAAGAGCCTGCCAGGCAGAGGCTTCCTTGGCTGTCTCTTCCTTGACTCTGTCTTCATCTGTCCCAGGGACACATGCTTTATACCAAGATCTCTCCTGTTCCAGGGGATGGTGGTCGTGATGGTGGTGGTGGTGGTGGGGTTGTCTTCACAGGTCAGGAGCTGAAGCAAGGAGAATTAACTATTTCCCCAGGAAGAGTAGAAGGTGACTTCTCAGGCAGCCCAGTGTAGTCCTGGGATTACGGGATCTTGAATATTCCCAGGCAAGATGTCTGGTTCCTGGTTGATCAAATGGAGAAGCACAAACTTTCTAAGTGCTGGGGGGTGGGGTGGAGGAAGGGGGGGATCTGTTTGCATGTTGGTAGATTAGGGAGGGAGAAGGAAATGCCTGACCACACTTTCTGAGGCCTGCTTTCTAGGCAGTTTGGCCAGAGTAATGCTTTCATGATCAAGTTTCTTCTTTTATTTTTTTTTCTTCCCCATCTCCTCACTCCCTTATGGGGGAATCTATCCCCACCCGGTGACCTCCAGCCACCTACTGGACCAATCCCCAGTTTAGAATCCACCTGGATGAGGTGGATGAGGACCAGGAAGAGGGCGCCGGTGAGCCCTGCTGTACGGTGCTGCTGGGTCTGATGCAGAAGAATCGCAGGCGGCAGAAGAGGATAGGACAGGGCCTGCTGAGCATCGGCTACGCTGTCTACCAGGTGCTGTGGGCTGGTGCAGCTGTTATTCTGCAGTTGATGGCTTTGGTCTGAATTTTCTCTTTAATTTTTTCTTTATTCATGATAGAGAATGTATGCACTCTACCATGAAGAAAGGGAGGGATGAGCACCTTCTGTAGGATCTGGTCATGCCACGATCCCCTTGCTCCAGGTCTCTAGTCTGTTGGATCCTGGGTACTCACACACATGCCTGGTGTGTTTCGGGCTGACTGGGCTGAGATTCGAACCATGGTTGCCATGTTGGACTTGGCCTCTCTTGAGCAGTGCTTTACTGCTGTCCTATGGAGCTGGCCCATTGATCTGAGTATGTTGGCCAATAATTGGAGAACGTCTTTCCTAGGGCTTGAATGTTCCTAACCGAGCTCCCCTAAATATATCTCCCAGTGGCCTTCCTGAGGCCTGAATCCCACAATGAGCAATTCATTCCCATGACTTAGGTTTCTGCTGTTAACACTGAGATGTGCAACGCATTTAACTTTGCCTGTCAGTGAGGGCACAGTGTGAATGTGTTTATTAGACTCTTTTCTAAGTTTAGGCTTCTCAGGGGACAAGAACCAAGAACATAGGAGTACAAGTCACTTGAGGAGACACAGAGGGATGAAGGGCATCACTGAGTGGGGGAAGGAGACAACACATGGGCATCAAAGATGAACACCCCCTTCCTCCTGCCCTGGGCTTCTTTGAGGCACTTGTTGGAACATACTGGGTATGTGCTGGGGTGAGGAATGTCACAGGGGCATTTCCAGCTCTGGTGTCTCCAGCTGGGGAATGCAGCTGGGCCTGGTCTCAGGCCGCAGTCCCTGGATCAATATGCTGGTTGGTCCTGCTAACCACCACTCTGTGGATTTAGCCTCACAGATACATTAAAGCAGACCTTTGGGTCTTGATAAGCCTAGCCAGGAACAGAGCAGAGTCCACTTTCTTATACAGCAAAGGCTCTTCATAACCAATTCCAGAGGGATTCATGGTGGTTGTTTCTATGTAATTTTGTTAAAAATGAATTTCTCATGAAAAGTCCAATTCTAATCAGGATGACCAAGAGCTGGCTGGAGGCCCAAACTTTCAGGATAAATTAATACTTGAAAAAGAAGTATCGTAATAAGAAACCAGGAGGAAACGTGCAAACCGTGCACTTGTCAAGCTCATGCTCTCTCCCACCAAGCCCCTTTCTTTTTCATATTCTGGAACTTAGAGATTGAGAGCTTAGGGTGAGCGTGTGTGTGTGTGTGTGTGTGTGTGTGTGTGTGTGTGTGTGTGTTATCTGAGACAGAGCCTTTCTATGTTGCTACTCTCCTGTCTCAGTCTCCTGAATAACTGGGACTACAGGCATGCACTACCATGCCTGGGTTATGTTTTGTTTTTGTTTTCCCATTAGGTATGGTGTGCTCGCTGGACAGAGATAGAGGGAAAGTGAGAAATCACCCCTTGGAGGGATGGCCACATTACAATCCCTTCTCTATTCCCTTCTCAGGATTTTGGTCATGCACATACATGTGTCTGGCATGATTTTCAAGCTGCCAGGTTCAGAGCTTGAACTGTGGTTGGCCATGTGGAAGTTCACCACACTATCTGTTGGCCCTCATGCCTGGTTTTTAGGGTGAGATAGGAATTGAACGTGGGCCTCCCACGTGACCTCAGCCTGCCAAGTGGCAGCATCTACCAGTATGCACTAACATGGATGGGCCTGCATGTGTATTTTATGTTGGAAGAGTAGGAGCTGGAGAGTAACTGTTACTTGATGGTAAGAGAAAAAAAATAGTAAATAAATAACTTCCACTTCTACTCCATCTTAGCTCTTCCATCCTCACCTAGAATGGAAGCCGTGTAAAACCAGACTCTGCTTACAGGGATAAAAACCCAGTGAGGCTCTTAGTCCATGCAGAGCAGTGCAAAATAATTTAGTGAACAGGTACTATGTGTTGGGTACTATGGTGGCAGATGGGGATGTGTGGGACTATCACGAGGACCCTCAGGGTCCTCACCATCCAGAGTGGGAAGTCAGACACACTCAGCTGACTGCAGGGCAGGGCGGATCTGCTGTGATAGGGAACAGCAAGGTGGGCTGGGAGTCTTCAGAAAGTGACACCTTCAAGGAGGAGGAGTTTTTGATTGAAAGAAGACTGGATTTCAAAGGTGGAGAAGGAGGAATATTCTAGCCAGGGGGGTGCCACATGCCTCTTCATAGCTTGCAGGTAGATGATGGTTAGTTGAGTGGATAGTAGGTGGCATGCCTGCAGGGCGGCTGCTCATGGACTGTAGCCACCAAGTCTTCATCGATAGGGGCTGCCTTATATAACCAGATCAGCAAACATTCTTCAAAGGGACTGAGATAGCTTTGTGTGCATGGTGTTTGCTTTCATCAATAATAGATAAAGCATGTCAGTTTTTCAGACATCAAATTTATAGCTGCTTACGAAGACTCCAGTGTATGTGACCCATGGTCCTTCTTAGAGTCAGAGGCATATAATTTAAAGCATAACGTCTGTGAACAGAAGCAGTCGAGTTTTTTAGAGATTTTTGTTATAGGGCATATGCACTCACCGGAGAGACAGAGAGCAAGAAATCACCTCCCAGGGGGAGGGGTCATGCCACAATCCCCTTTCCTCCATTCTGCTCTCAGGATTTGCAGCACACATGCATGTGTGCCTGGTGTGAGTTTTAAGCCGCCTGGTCTGGAACTCTAACCACGACTGACTACGTGCGAGTCCAGCAACGTAACCATTACGCCATCTGCTGGTCCCCACTTTAAAAAAAGGAAAGAATTATACCAACACTCCATAAGACTGCTGGCCACCTTCTTCCTTCCCTCTTAAAGTTCTGAGCTGTTCTCATACAGGTTAAACAGGAACTGAACACAAGTTAGAGGGGACCATACGTGAAGGGTCCCCCTTGTTCTGATAGACCTCTTTCCACTTTGCCTTATCTTACTCCCTGTTATCCTCTGGGCCAGTTGAAAGTCCACCGAGGGCCATTTTTACATTCTCACTGAAACTAGAGGTCAAGATTCGGTAAAAAGAGGAAAGAGTTCATTGGAAACCTCAGGGCCTCCTTGCAAAGCCAAGAGGAGCTGGGAGACTGGAAGCAAAGACTGAGGGCGAATTGTCAATAACCATCCTGGGAAAGAAGAACCTGGAACCTGGGGGGACCATGTCAGTGCTGGGAGCATTCAGGGCACACTCAATATGTTAAAAGGCAGTTGTGGCCCAAAGACACGTGAGCACCTGCTGCAGAGGGGGTGCAGGAGGAGTCTGAGGGGAGACCGTCGAGGAAAGCACATGACTGTTGCTATCTGTTCATTACACCGAGTTCACCTATGCCAGCTGCAACGCGAAATATTTTGTCTGTGTTTGTGTGATTTAATACCTCAAGAGCACTGGAGGGAGGCACAGCTTCTGTTTTAGAGGACAAATAGGAGATTCAGAAGATATGTGAGTGCCCGGATCACGCAGCTGAGACGTGCTGAGATTAGGACTTGAACTCAGGTATGTGCAACCGCAAATTTGCATTATATTGTCTCTTTACAGGGCTTACAATGAGTTTGCCATAGCTGTCTTGAGTTGATAGTTAGACCTTAGAGTACTCCAAATTGTGTGTGTGTGTGTGTGTGTGTGTGTGTGTTATCTGAGACAGAGCCTTTCTATGTTGCTACTCTCCTGTCTCAGTCTCCTGAATAACTGGGACTACAGGCATGCACTACCATGCCTGGGTTATGTTTTGTTTTTGTTTTCCCATTAGGTATGGTGTGCTCGCTGGACAGAGATAGAGGGAAAGTGAGAAATCACCCCTTGGAGGGATGGCCACATTACAATCCCTTCTCTATTCCCTTCTCAGGATTTTGGTCATGCACATACATGTGTCTGGCATGATTTTCAAGCTGCCAGGTTCAGAGCTTGAACTGTGGTTGGCCATGTGGAAGTTCACCACACTATCTGTTGGCCCTCATGCCTGGTTTTTAGGGTGAGATAGGAATTGAACGTGGGCCTCCCACGTGACCTCAGCCTGCCAAGTGGCAGCATCTACCAGTATGCACTAACATGGATGGGCCTGCATGTGTATTTTATGTTGGAAGAGTAGGAGCTGGAGAGTAACTGTTACTTGATGGTAAGAGAAAAAAAATAGTAAATAAATAACTTCCACTTCTACTCCATCTTAGCTCTTCCATCCTCACCTAGAATGGAAGCCGTGTAAAACCAGACTCTGCTTACAGGGATAAAAACCCAGTGAGGCTCTTAGTCCATGCAGAGCAGTGCAAAATAATTTAGTGAACAGGTACTATGTGTTGGGTACTATGGTGGCAGATGGGGATGTGTGGGACTATCACGAGGACCCTCAGGGTCCTCACCATCCAGAGTGGGAAGTCAGACACACTCAGCTGACTGCAGGGCAGGGCGGATCTGCTGTGATAGGGAACAGCAAGGTGGGCTGGGAGTCTTCAGAAAGTGACACCTTCAAGGAGGAGGAGTTTTTGATTGAAAGAAGACTGGATTTCAAAGGTGGAGAAGGAGGAATATTCTAGCCAGGGGGGTGCCACATGCCTCTTCATAGCTTGCAGGTAGATGATGGTTAGTTGAGTGGATAGTAGGTGGCATGCCTGCAGGGCGGCTGCTCATGGACTGTAGCCACCAAGTCTTCATCGATAGGGGCTGCCTTATATAACCAGATCAGCAAACATTCTTCAAAGGGACTGAGATAGCTTTGTGTGCATGGTGTTTGCTTTCATCAATAATAGATAAAGCATGTCAGTTTTTCAGACATCAAATTTATAGCTGCTTACGAAGACTCCAGTGTATGTGACCCATGGTCCTTCTTAGAGTCAGAGGCATATAATTTAAAGCATAACGTCTGTGAACAGAAGCAGTCGAGTTTTTTAGAGATTTTTGTTATAGGGCATATGCACTCACCGGAGAGACAGAGATAGAGAGAGAGAAGGTGAGAAACACCCCCCCCCCCAGGGGGATGACCACGCCCAAATCCCTTCTCTTACATTCTCCC